TGGGAGAGGGAACACAGGAGGATGAGCAGCGCACGGAGGGTGGTCTGTGGTGCAAACAAGCCAGAGGACTTCTGAGAAGCCAAGCACGGTCCCGAATTCCCCAAATGGTTTCTAATTTATCTTTATTTTGCAGCAGAAGAGAGGGGAAAAAATCCAGCAGACCCTGACTGTGAAGGAATCCAGACTCTGCAGCTGGATCTAACGCTTCGGCCAAGCCTGCCTGGGCAGGATCAGAAGCGGGGGAATGGGCTTTGGAGGGGGGCAGCCCCCCCCAGGGATGGGTGTCCAGGGAAGCTGTCGGGGAGAAGGGGCAGAGCCCCCTCCCCGCCGGGGCAGCACCAGTGCTAAATGCGGGGGGCTTCCCCCTGCCTCCCTGGTTCCCCTCCTCTCACTTCTCCCCTTCTCCCTCCAGGATGGTGGACAACAACAGGATTGCCACGATCGTCCCCACAACGTTTGCAGGGTTGAGGTCTCTGTATTTTCTGTAAGTAGGGGCGGGAGCAGCCCTCCGCGGGGTTTGGGGGGACCCCACTCCTGCGGGTGTCTGGCCTGCACCCCTTCTCCAGGCAGCTTCCAGCCTTTTTCAGGGCAAGCCAGGGATGCTGTGGCTTCCTCGCCTTCCCCGGGGTGCGAGGGGCAATGGTGCAAGGGAGATGCCCCGTTTGCAGGGGGTGCCTGACCTGGCAGGGGGGCCAGCAGGCTCTGCTGGTGCTGCTGCGCCCCTGTGCCTTCTCCTGCTCTCAGCACGCTCCACTTAATACCCGGGCTATTGCTTTTGCCTGGGACGGGGACAGGCCTGGCCCCGGGGAGTCTGGCCGGAGCAGAGCCCCGGCACTCCCAGATCAGCAGGATGGGTAGCAGTGCCTGCGGTTCGGGCTGCCGGTTGTTTCCCTTGAGTCAGCGACTGCAAACGGGACCCAATGCTTTCCCAAACAAATGCCCCTCCGCTGGGTGTTTTCACACCGGCTCATTGCCAGCCAAGGGGTTTTTAAGGTCCAGCCATTTCCAAGATGGGTGTACAGGATAACGAGTTTGCTTTAACCACCATAAAATCCATTTTGCAATCACCGTAAGGGGACTTTAACACCTTCTCCATAGTCCGAAATACAGATTGGAAACCTTGGCAGCAGCCTGGAGTCAGCGCTGGGGGGAAAGTTTTGGCTGGGACAGTGGAAAAAGCACGTGTGAGCGTGGAGGGGCACGTGTGTTCTCACGTTCATCGGCCGTCCCCCGGGTGCACACCTGCAAGGGGAGCACTTCAGCCCTGGGCGCTGCTCCGGGCTCGCGCCACCTCTGCTGGAGATGTAGCTGCTGGAGCTGGCTGAAAAAGCCTGGAAGTTGGTTTGGGGGTGTGCAGGACTTGGGCAAGGGCTGTACCTGGGGACGGGGGAGCCGTCAGCACAGGGGTGGATGGACTGAGAGCAGCTGGGGCTGGCAGCAGGGCTGGGGAAGAGGGGCTGTGACCTCGTGATTTTGCCCCTCTGCAAAACCTGGGTAGCGCTCGGTGCCCGGAGGCTGTCCCTGCCCTGTCCTGGAGCAGGAGCCGGGGGGGGCGCAGCCCTGGGAGCCCAGAGCTCCCCTCGGCTGCGCGCTCCCGTGTTGCAGGCAGCGGTGCCACCCCGCTCGGTGACGTACTCTGTTTATCCTTCTGCACTTCTGTTATCAAATCACATAAGCTAAAACTGAGGTCACAAGAAGTGTGGTAAGGAACACTGCGCCCGCAGGCGTGTGCAAAAGTGCTGGGGGGTGGGGGGGAAAACACCAGCAGGAGTTCAGGCTATAAATTTGCCTTTACGGGCTGTCACTTCAGGGTCACTTGCTGCTGCTGCTTTCGGGCACCATTCTCGTGGTGACGCGCCCGTCACAGCTCGCTGCAGAGCATCTCCCGCAGCCGCTGCACGTGCCCTGTACCGTGACCTTTGCGTCTCTCCCGAAGGCGGGGAATGAAGCTCAGCGCCGCCCTTGGCTCCACCGGGGCATGCAGAAGCCGGTGCAGCCGCACGGCTCTGGGCTGGCTGCTGGAGGCACCGCCGGCCCTGAGCTCATCCCCGGGTATCTGCACGAGCAGCCCGTGCGGTGCCGATGTCCCCCGGGTGAGGCCGTGGACCAGCAGAAAGCCCTCGTGAAGCACTGCATGGTCTCGGAGCAGCGGGACGGGGCTGTGTCCCAGGCAGGCGTTCGGTGCCGTGACCCCCATTTGTCCCTGTTGCCTCCCGAGCAGGTACATGCTGAACAACTCTCTGACTCGAATCCCCAACGCCTCCCTCTGCACGGAGAT